CCAATCCCTAAAATTTTTGTACTACAATATACTTTAATATATCCCTATCTCCTTGGAGGCCTACATCAAAAATTGTTGCCCAAAATAAGCTTGAAATGCAATTCTTAATCGATTCCAAAAAGTTCTTGAAAAAATATTGAAAACTGATGGAGTTATTTCAATTTTAATGAAGTCATTTTGGCTAGTATTCCGAACCGAGATATTATGTGCAATTTTCCCAATTTTGTTCATGGAGGTCTTTTTACTTAGTATCCACTATATTCAACAAACACTGAGTTATATCTTTCACATAGAGTTAGTCTCATTAAAAAATATTGAAATTTTATCGAATTTGGGCAAAAGCGAATTTGGGCAAAAGCGTATGCCCAAATATGGGCATATTTTTTAAAGCTCATAGCTAAGCCAATTTTTGACCAATCTGGATGGAAATTCATGTACTAGTCCTAAAACAGGCTTATCTTGCGAATCTGAGTGAAAAATATAGTTCATCATGTAAATCTTAACGAAGAATATAAATCTTCTAATTGTAGGTATATTAAAGTATATTAAAATGTAGGATTGTTTCCGATTTTGACCCGGGGATATACTTTAATATACTTTAATATGGTTGCCCGGCCCCCCCCCCCCCCTATTTTATATCCAATATCCTTATTTCCAGCTTTTAGGTGAGAAAAATCGTGTCTTTCTTAATAACTTAATAATAAAGGGATAAAATAACTTAAATCTGTAAAACAAATTTTACCCATCAACATCTTTAGAAGTGAGGATGGTATTGGTGCACACATCCTCATCAACAGTACAGCATGTGTCAAGTGGTAGTTGGAGTATGACACCGTGTATCTCGGGATTATTGTTCAAACATTCCAATGCGGATATCACCTTACAGAGGTAACACTGTGTTAAATAGTGGTGTAGTAGGCCCTGTTCAACTAAATATTTAGCCAGCAAAACACAATTGATATTAAATTTTGAATAATTGCAATTAGAAACCTCCTGTTGGGTGGACTGGTTTCCAAGCTTGATGTGTTGAGTACGTATTCCAATCTCGCTGGCTGCTTTTATCTTCATTCTGATGTAGGTGTTGGAGTCTGGTCGGTCTCCAACCTTGTAAAGTTATTTTAAGCATACCAAATATAATGAGATAACACCTGTGAAAATAAATGCATTCCTAATTTGGACATGAGTCGCCCATCTTGATTTTGTGCTAACATGACTTTACCATAAAAGTAATTATTCAATAGTTGTGTCCAGACAACAATCACCCAATCAGTAAATAATTCGATGTCAATGAAAGCTGCCGAAGTTTGGAAAGGTATATGAACTGAGAAAGATCACCTGAACGATTGCTAGCCCAGGTTTAAAAACGTCCCACTCTGCCAGTGCGGTAACATGCTCCTTCAGATCCTCTCGTACTTTTCTGAAAGTGTTAAAGTTGTGAAATTGCACTTTTATTCCTTTCGTTCACCGTGCTTGGTTCTGAGATTCAAAGTTCACAATGGCTCTAACGAGCAGCAGACATTAAAATTATTCATTGTGATGCCTCTTTTACAATTATAAGAAGTTTAATACGAATTGCAATGAAAATTTATAAAACTAACTTGGAGATCTTTTGGCCATTGATAACGACTGCCATAATATCAATGATTGAATAGCTAGCTGCTACTCCCTAAAATATTCTTTATTCATACTCGATATTACAGTTAAATTCCGATTCACTGTACACTTTTTAAATAAATCGTGGTGTACGGTTATCGGGTTATATATGCATTAAGGTTTTGATTATTGAGCTGGGAATCCCAGGTACTGAAAGTTCTATTCCCAAAGAAAGCTTTGATAAACGGAAAATCATCATAATGTAAAAAGAGACTTTGGAATATTTTTGAAGAGGAGCTTTTCTGCCGACCCCTTGACCAAAATTTCACCGTTTTGACTGAAATTTTGACCGGTGACCAATCAGTGATGACAGTGAGAGTTACAGAAGTCCCCATCAAGGTACTGGAAGCAGTATATCCGGGGAAAACTTTGATGTGTGATGCAATGAATTTTTTGAATATGTCCTACCTGTAAAAAATATTCAAATTTCAGCTTTCCGTGACCCAAATTTCACTGTTTGACTGAATTTTTCTTAAATAACCATCTTCACTGACCAAGGTCACTGAGGAGACATAAGACACGATTGAGGTATTCAAATTTCTATTCCCGAAAAAAGCTTTGATAAACGGAAAATCATTAGAAAAGTAGAAATTTTGGAACATTTTTAGAAAGAATCTTTTTAGCTGAATGTCCTACTGGTAAAATATAATTAGCTTTTATTACTGTTCTTATCCACCAACCAATGCACAGCATAGCTTTACTGGGCGGGGATCAGCCTGTCATTCCGCCAAATCTATATTATATGTTTAATGTTTATGAACATAATTAAATAGCCTGGAGACCACAGGTAATCAATCAATGAAACAAGAAATTTTCAATGAAACAAGAAATTTAATTTTAGCACATTTTACAGAATAAAAAGATGTAAAACAATTCATAAAATATAATGCCCATTTGGTGTATGACTTTTTGTCCTTGACTGCTAGTTTGGGTTTGGAAGGATAGGTAACAAACAGGCAAGGAATGCGCGTGCCTGAAAGCTTTTGCACACACCGAAACGCTAGTTCAGTTAGGTTTTTAGAGACAAGGCTCATATTAGGACTAGAAGAAATTTTTTAGTAGACATTAGGGGTTCTGTTTATAATAGTTGTTACTATAGGTTGCAGTCTTGTTGTGACAAAAAATCTACACTAAAACATACTTTAGTTTATATTGTGTAGTTCAAGGATATAAAATGCAGCTTCATGGTGGATATTGGAGAGCTAGCGAAAGATTATGGCCTTTTTGTCAATGGTTATAATAAGCTATAAATATCTTAAACTATACAGTGCTAATTAAAATTTCTTTATAACTTCATTCTAAGATTAAATTTAAAAATTCAAAAATATACATTTATTTTATTAAAACTTTCTCACACATACTTTACTCACAGGACAAGACTTGGAAAACAGTAGCCTAGGGAATTAAATTGAGATGTGTGTGACCAGCCAGTTATAATGTTTGGAAAATAACATTTGTGCAGTCAAAATATTTTATGGTCCAATCAAGCAGGGCGTGGTTATGTTGATTGGCTAATAGCGCACGTTTTAGCTTTCCTCGCAAGCACATTACACTAGTAGTAAAGTCAGTCATTCTGACTTTGGGGTTAAAATGTTAAAAAGTTTGGTTGATCTAGTGTTGTAGTTGTCAGGTGGGTCTGCCTGACAGATTAGTAGGCAGGGTTTCCTTGACGAACATATGTAACCCTCATGTAAGGATATTGGAGCACGGAATTTCATTATCTTGTAGAGCTCCAGGTAACTGTGGTATGTATAGAGATTTTGTATAGCTAGAATATTATTATGCTTGAATATAGGCTTGGTGTGCTCTTTTATGAAAAAGTTTCTGGTGTCCTATAGGCCTAGTATGTGCACAAGTCTTAAACTTATCAAGATACGCCAGCCTATCACCAAATAGTACTCTGAGACAGTACTTCTGAGCAGTAAATATTGAGCTAATACGTTGCTTAGCTGCCCCACCCCATACAGATATACAGTAAGAAAGATGTGATTCGAACAGGGTATAGTATAATTGTTGATGTAGAAATTCTGGAAGGGAGCAGCGAAGTCTACATAAAGTGGATGTGGAATGATTTAGATTTCGCTTAAGAGCTTTAATGTGATCTTCCCATGATAGGTTCTCGTCAATTATAACACCCAGAAATTTTGCACCCAGGTAATGTTTATGAACATAATAGCCGTTTTTTAGCCAGAGAAGAGAGGAAGAAGAGGCGAGAAGAAGCAGAGAAGGAAAAGACAGAGAAGAAGGTGGAAAAGAAGTAAATAGCAGTGACAAAGAATGTAGTCAGCCCATGAATATTTTTTATACTAATGCTAATGGACTATTTAATAAAATTGATGAACTAAAATGTATTCTATCAGTTTATAAATCCATTCATGTAATCTGCATTACAGAAACTCATTTTAATAGTGATATTTTAGATGCTGAAATTTTTATTGAAGGTTTTAGTATGTTTAGAAAAGACAGAGATTTTAAAATCGATAACTCCACTAGCAACATAAGTGGAGGTGGAGGTTCTATTATTTATATTAAAAACAGTTGTAATGGTTCATTAGTGAGCTCATTTTTAAAAGCACCAGACTCTTTAGCTATTAATGTCAATAACTCTGGTGGATTGATTTGTATTTGTTGTATTTATAGGTCTACCTCTTTGAATTTAAAACAGAATAATATGTTATTATCTTGCATCAAGAACATATCTAGTGAAAAGAATGTTTTTGAAACCATTATCATAGGAGATTTTAACCTACCTAATGTATCTTGGGAAACTGGTAGTGTAAATAGTGGTATTTCTAGTAAGAATCAGGTTTTAATGATTCAACAAAAGTATATTGATTTATTTAATGACAGTGGTTTGACGTGGTACTTTACTAACGAAACAACCAGAAGACGCCTTGTGAAAGATACTCTCCAGGAGAGTCTTCTTGATCAGGTTTTGTATACAAATGATGCTCTTGTCAACGGTTGTAAGATCGTTTCTCCGCTTGGCAAGAGTGATCATGTTGGGATACTAGTCGAACTGGTTGTTTCGCCCAATACTAACAAAAGTCCCAAACAAAAGATTTTAAAGCCTATTTGGGGTAAGATTTCCTCAGAAGAGTTATTTAACTTTAGTATGAATAATATTGACTGGGATTATAGTTGTACAAATAATGTTCAAGATATGTGGGTTGAACTACATGGTAAATTAGAGTCTGTTGCTGCAGCTGTCCCAGCTGCTTCGGTTTATCTCGACAACAGACCTGTCAAGTTGCCATGGAGTACAACTTCACTTAAAAGAATGAGGAAGAACAAAGACAAAGCATGGGCTGAATTTGATATTAATCCTTCGGATGCCTCAGCCTCCATCAAAAACAATTTTAGTTTTCAGTCCTTCTAGTTTCCAAAAATCTACCGAGCTAGTGTTCTGGTGTGCACAAAAGCCCCTAAGCCCGTGCATTCCTTGCCCCGCTAGCTGCCAGTCCTTGACAAACTTCCAATAGCAAAGACCAACTAGTCATTTACAAATTGAGCACTATACAATTTTAATTGTTTTAAATATTTGACTTTGTAAAATGAGCTAAAACATTGATTTATTAGTTTCATTGATTTATTAGTTTCATTGGATATTAACTTTAGCTGTGCAAATAGCAAGCAGCGTATTTTTGAGGTGGCAGAAATTAAAGCTAAAGTAAATTATGAAAAGAAGATTACATCGAATTTAAAACAGAATTGTAAATCTTTTTACTCTTATTTGCGTAATAAACGTCAAGTTAAGTCAAGTGTTGTTTCTTTAGATAGAGGAGATGGTACACGCACAGATAGTTCATCTGAGTCAGCTGAGGTACTTGCTAGTGCCTTTAGTTCTGTGTTTGTGCGTGAACCACCTGGCCCTCTTCCCCAAAATGAGAGTTATAACAAAGAGGTTATTGATGATATGGAAATTAGCAGCTCTGATATCAAGAAGCAGCTTTTAAAGCTTAATGTTTTTAAGAGTTCTGGTCCGGATGGCGTTCATCCAAAGTTGTTAAAATCCTTAGCATACGATGAAAAGTTTGTTGAAGCTGTAACTAAATTATTTGTTAAGTGTTCAGAAACAGGAGTCCTGCCTGACATTTGGAAGACAGCATCTGTTGTAGCATTGTTTAAAAAAGGTGTTAAATCTGATCCCTTAAATTATAGAACTGTCTCATTAACTTGTATTTTGTGCAAAGTGTATGAAAAGCTGGTGAGGGCACATTTACTAACATTTTTAGAAGTGGGCAATTCTCATAAAAAGCGTCACAAATCACTAATAGAAATTTTTTCCTCCAATTTCTATAAAAGTTATATCATGCGTTAGCTTATAAAGATCTCTATTGGACACCATTGTAGTGTCAGCAGTTTGCAGACTTTTTAGCTGCTAAATTGACCAATCAGTGTTTAAATTGGGTGTCCGTCCGTGACGTTTTTGTCACGTCCGTGACGGGTTACGGACAGGACAAAATAAGAATAGTCACGTCGGTGACTGGTCAGGGACAGGACAAAATAAGAATAGTCACGTCCGTGACTTGTCACGGACAGGACAGAATAAGAATAGTCACGTCCGTAATGCATCGCGGACAGGAAAATTCTTATTTTGTCCCGTCTGTATGCACTTTTAGAGTAGCTGAAATCTAAAAACTGTATGTAATTTATGTATGTGATACATACTGATGAATACTTTTCACGTACACAGTAGGGTAGGATGGGGTAACTTGGAACATGGGGTAACTTGGAACAGCCTAGGCAAGGGTCGACCGAGTCCTCGGCCTCGGCCTCGGTTTTACCGAGGAATGGCGCTTTTTCCTCGGCCTCGGCCTCGGTCAGGAGGACAATTCCTCGGTTCGCCTCGGCCTCGGTCAAAAATAGATTCGAAATTCCTCGGCCTCGGCGAAATTTGACGATTTTACCGAGGATTTTTGTTGAAATTTTGGGAATTTTTCTACAGACTTACAGAGGTTAATGTAAACGAATTTGTAAAACTGAAAATAAAACGACCAATTGACCAGGACACAAAACTAAAAATATCAT